CCAGAGCCCCGGAGGTAGTAGGGCCTCAGGAAACCTGTGTTGACAAAATAAATAAATGAATGAGAGAATGGGGGAACACGGGTAGCCTAAGTAGCTAATGGCCACCTGCGCAGCTACGTACGGCTCTATCTAAGGAGAACGACTCTGCCCATATCGGGAGGAGAATCTGTTACTAAGGAAAAGAACCCAGGTAGTATTCTCCCAAACAGACGGCAAAGAGAAAGAAATATTTCTCATCATGGCGATGAAAACCTCCCACATACTTTCCCTCTGAATTCATTCCTTCCCTCCTTGTTCACCGTGTCCCATAGCAAAGGCCCTGAGCCCCTGGTGCCTGTCCAGCCCTGACGGGATGCAAAGGCCCCAGGGACGGACATGGGGCTCGCCTCTAGGGCAGGGGCTCCCGCTTTCCCTGTTTCGAGGACACAGATGCAGCTCTGGGGGACAGAGGGCTCCTCGGCTTCCCTCCTCCCCGTCTCTGCCGCGAATGGTGGTCTGTCTGGCATCTGCCAGAATTCCACACTGGGAGGCAGCCCGCTTCTCGGCCCAGCGGGGCTGTGTTTATGGCAGCCTGGCCTCCAGTCCTGGTAGAGTCCTCTAGCCAGCTGAGAGCGGCATGGGGCAAGTTCGTTTGCCCATCAGAGCCTCCGTTTGCTCATCTATAAAATGGGTGCCACGACCCCCGTCTTAATTACCTCCCAGTGTTGTCGGAGGTGCACATATGGTAATAGATGGGGAAAGGCATTGGAAGAGTCGAGAGACTGAGGAGGGGCAGTTATGAGCACCGGGCAACGCTGGGGGACAGGGACCTGGCACACGGTCCCCCGGGCAGCAGGACGATGGCGGTGCAGGAGGTAAGTAAGCTCTAACTGGGCAGTAAGGAGCTCCACTTGGAGGAGGGAGTGCCTTTGCTGAGAAGCGTCTGTCCGGGCTCCCTGGGAGAGGAGGCGTTCCGGGCGTGCTCAGCCGGAAAACATAAGGAAGCCTATGAATCAGTGGCCACGCTGTGGATGGAAACACGGGTGTAGACTCTGTCCCCTTACGGGTTCCAGCCCAAGTCTCTTGTACTGCCATCCAGGCCATTCATTTGAGTAATTCTTTTTTTTTTTTTTTTTTAAGTTTATTTATCGTGAAAGAAAGAGAGCGAGCGAGAGAGAGAGCGCGCACACACAGGCAGAGAGAGAATCCCAAGCAGGCTCCACACCATCAGTGCAGAGCCCGACGCAGGGCTCGATCTCAGAAACTGTGAGATCACAACCTGAGCTGAAATCAAGTGGGGCACCTAACCAACTGAGCCACCCAGGCGTCCCTTGAGTAATTCTTTTAAAAGTAACACCCGCCCATTGTTTTAGTGTTGAAGCACCACAGAAAGGCATGAAATACAGAGCAAAATCCCGCTCGGCCTCAGTTCCACTCAGCATTTCTGTTTTCATATGACTCGATTGTACATAATATGCTCGTCTCTTGTGTATCCATAAAGGAAGCGAATGGCGCCCCCTTTCTGTGTGCTACACATTCTGTGTTTGCCCTTCCAGAGCTCTGCCCTTCTGCCCAGCTCTGTGCCCCCGGAGGCTCATCTGCACAGACCATGAAGGGGGGGCCCTTTGGTTTCCGGGAGGGTTTGGCCAGCAGGTGGCCCTGGTAGCAGATGTGAGGGACATGACATTGGGTGTGTCCCCTGCGGGCCACTGGCAGCTGGCTGTGCGTCTGCAGTGGGCGTGGCTCCTCTCAGGCACCGCTTCCTGAAGCCCCTCCCCTCCTAACCCTTGCCCAGAACGCCCTCATCCTCGCCCCAAATCCTTCTTCCAGGCCCGTCTGGGGGCGACCCTCCTTGCTGGTTTCTCCAGCTTTTAGGTTAATGACATGGCGGTGCACGCATCGCACTTCACAGACACTCACTTTTTTTGTCTCCAGAACACTCCCGAGGTCAGCATTGCACATGAGGAAGTGATGCTCAGAGGGGAGCGTGTCCGCGGGGTCCAATGACACGGTCAGGCGGCCCCGGGGGGGGGGGGCCCTGTCCGGGCGGGCTCCTGAGGCCTGGCTGAGGGGCTGGGCACCCGGCTGAGGCCGCGGCAGGGCTTGGACGCGACACGTGGCCCTGCAGGGCCTGCCTCGGACACGCCTGCGGGCCTCACCGGCTCTGCTCCCCCAGCCCGGGGCCTGTGTGTGCGGCCTCGGCCTCCCCCAGCCCCCGGCTCCAAATCTTCCCCAGACGCGTCCCCTTGACGCCTCACAGTCGTCGCCAAGCGTCCCAGGAAAAGCCCCCAGGCCTGCCCCTGCCCCGGGGGTACGTAAGGCCAGGCTGCTGTCAAGTGACACGACCGAGGACCGAGCGGGCAGCTCAAACAGCAGGCGTGATTCCCTCACGGCTCTGGAGGCCGGATGCTGGGATCGAGATGTCGGCATCTTGCTTCCTTCTGCGGATGGTGGCCTCCTCCCCGAGCCCTCACGTGGTCTGGGCCCTACTCTCCTCTCCTTATTAAGAACGCCTGGGGGCGCCTGGGTGGCTTAGTCGGTTAAGCGTCTGACTTTCGCTCGGGTCATGATCTCGCGGTTCGTGGGTTCGAGCCCCGCGTCGGGCTCTGTGCTGACTGCCAGCTCGGAGCCTGGAGCCTGTTTCGGTCTGTGACTCCCTCTCTCTCTGGCCCTCCCCTGCTCACGCTGTCTCCTCTCTCCTCTAGAAATAAATGAAACATTAAAAAAAAAAAAAAAAAAAGAACGCCTGTCCTTAATGGGATGTGTGCGTGGCCCAACGACCTCGCTTTACCCTAATTTCCTCTCCAAAGACCGTATCTCCCATACAGTACGCGTCCTGAGGTGCCGAGGGCTAGGATTGCAACGTATGAGTTTGGGCGGCTCTAGTCGCATCATAGCCCGCGGCGCCCCCACCCCGGCACCCACCCCACGCTCCGCCAGCATCTCCCCCCTAGTCGTGCGTGCGGTCAGCCCCGGATGGCCGTCCTGCCTCACAGCCCACACTGGCCCCCCACGGCCACAGCAGAAGGCCTACGCCCTAACGTGCCCTGGGCATCCGCGGCCCTGAGTGACACGACCCCTGCCCCGTGTCCCCACCCAGGGACAGCCCCGCCTCAGTCAGAGCAAGGGCTCTGGACGGACCTGCCTGGGCTCACACCCTGTGACTCGAGGGGCTGTGTTTCCCCTTGTTGGCACGGCACCTGCGACGTGGGGACAATGGCCGCGCCTCGGCCTGCCGTGTCCCGCTCAGTGTCTCTTAAAGGGCTGCGCGCGGAGCCCTGACTGACCGCCTCCAGCAGCCGCTGGACAGAAGCCAGGACGTTAGGTGCTGAGGCCGCCGCTCCTGCCCGACCCCCGCTCCTCCCCCGCTCCCCGGGCAGGCTGGTCCCTGGGGCCTGATTCCACCGAGTGTGGCCTGGTTGTCTCCCAGCTGCACTGCACCCCAGGCCCTCCCTGCCCGGCCCTCCCTCCTCCCCCTCTCCTTTCACGGGACCAGCCCCGCACCCAGATCCCGGGCTCTCCCTGCCTGTTCCCGCCCCACCTCCTTCCCTCCATCCTCCGCAGGCACCGCCCCGCAAGCCTCTTGCGCATCTAACCTGTTCTTGGCATCTGCTCTCTGAAGACGAGAACCGGCATGGGTAGCTATTTCACAGGTTGATCAAGGATTAAATGAATTAATACACACAGAAACCTTGGAAACGTGCCTGGAACAGAGCAGATATGTGACTCCCAACCCCACGGAGCTCCCTTCTAAGGGCCATTCTCGGGACGTCATCCGCCCCGGCCGTAGATTTCTGTGTGTCGTCTTGTGGACCGGGCCTTCTTAAGTTTCCTAAGGGTGTTATGCTTCCTCCGGTCACAGGGCCTTTGCACCCACCGCTGCCCCTGTTCCTTTGCTGTGAACGCTCTTCCTGCTAGCTCAGATGTCACTTCCTCAGGGAAGCCCTCCTGACCTCCTGATATGTTTTCCCTGCACTGTGTACCTCTCCTCCCAAGAATGTTTGAAGGTTTATCCACTTATGTGTGTGTTCATTTATTTCACGCTCGTCTCTCTGGGGCAAAGACGGTCAGTCCTCAGACCCCTGTCCGTCCCGTCCCAGAACTCGGTTTCAGCAGAGCACGGCTTTGCCCCCAAGAACGCTCGTCTCCCCAGCCTCCCTTGCAGCGAGCCGAGGGGATGCGCGCGCACGCGGCTGTGGTTCAGCTCCCCCGGGGAAGAGAAGGGGCGCCTCCCTCCCCCTCCCGCTCCCTTCCGTCCTCCCAGCACGGGCACTGCTGTCCGGACGAGGACGGACCAGGAAGAGACCAGACGGCCTCGGGGTGCGCTGCTCACCAGCGTGGGATTTCAGGGAGGGAGGACTTAAGTCTCGCCTGGTTAGGGCGACATCGCTTCCAGTCTCTTGAGGCAGACGTTTCTGGAGCGCGGGAGGCTCTGAGAAGCAGGGTCGGGGTCGGGGTCGGGGTCAGGGTCGGGGTCGGGGTCAGGGTCAGGGTCAGGGTCCCGATGTGCTCCACCGAGAAGGTCCTGATTAGTGTAGGATGGGTGCGTGCGTGAGTTCTGGGGGGCGGGACCCTTTCTCAGCGACCCCGGCCGGGGGGGGGGGGGGGGGGGGCGGGACCCTTTCTCAGGCACCTCAGCGACCCCGGCCGCGCCCCGCCTCTGGGCGAGGTCGGACGGGAATCGAGGGCAGCGCGCTCCGCGAGAACTTTCTGTGACGGAGGAAACGCTCCGCGCTCCCCTGCCGCCCCGTGAGGCGCCGCCCGCGGCCACCGCAGGGGACAGGCCGGCGCCCCCGGGCTGGAAGGGAGGGTGAGCGGTGCAGGGCGACGCGGCCCGCGCGCCGAAACCCGGTCGTCGGGCCCAACCCCGAGCAGCCCCGGGCTGCTGAAGAGGTGGGCGGAGAAAGAGGTGGGACTTCCTGTGTGCCAGGTCTACGCTGGCCGCCTGGCTGCCGCGCACCCCGAGACAGGGAGGAGGGCGGGGTCTGCTGCGGGCCAGGCCCGGGGCTGTGACCCGGGGCGCGCGTGCACATCTTGACTCTTCCCATTTCACAGAAAAGAAAGTTGAGGCCAGAGAGGGGAAGCAGCTCACGCAAGGTCACACAGCGAATGCAGCGGCAAAGGCGAAACTAGAACTCAGACCCACCTCCCTCCAGAGACTGCTCTCTCCTGCCCCAGGCCGCGCAGCTCGGCGCGGGGCCAGCGGGTGCCCTCCTGCTTCCCCAGGCCGCTCCTCCCCGGCGACCCGGGCCCTTCCCTGCGGCTCCGGGAGGCTCCGCCGGTAGGGAATCAGGATGCAGCCAGCACGGCTGGCGGAGGCAGAGCCCGTCCCAGACCTCAGCCCAGCCTGCAGCCCCTGGGATGAGCAGTCCTCACCAGGCCCAAGCTCCCGGTGCTGCGCTCACCCTGCCTCTGCGGGCCGAGCGCCTGATCCTCACCCAAGCTGGCCCTGGCCCCGCGGGTCAGGAGACAAGGAAGCCTTCCTCTTGGGGGCGCTCGGCAACTCTGCAGAGGATACGACTTCAAGGGCCCATTGGCTGGAAAGAGTCCCCTGGCGAGGGGAACCCTAACCCGAACCCGAACCCGAACCCTAACCCAGCGCTGTGCTCATCCCTTTAAACAGGTGACTTTCTTTAACCCCCAAAACCCCCTCCTCCTCGGCCCATTTTACAGATGGGAAACCAGAGGCCCGGAGAAGTCGCTTCCTAGGAATCACACAGCCGGCAGGAGGCGGTGCCTGGGTTCCAGAGAATGACAGGGCAGTGGGAACTGGGGAGGCTCTGAGACCCTGGGAAGGGGAGGTAGGAGAGGGTCCCCTAACAAGGTGTGGGGTGGGAGCCTGGGGGGATGGGCGGGGGCATCGGTCGCCAAGCCACTCCCAGGGCAGGAAACAGGTGAAGTGCTCCTCCTGCAGTGACGCCTGGCATTCGTCTCTTCAGTGACTTCCGTCACTCGGTCCTTCCTGTCCTTACCGCCCTCTGGAAGATTCCGCTGCACCTGGGCCTAGGGGAGCAAAGAACAAAGGGCGTGGCTCTGGACGGCCAGGTGGTGACCAGCAGCCGAACGGGCACAGGCCTGGGGTGGGGCCAAGCATGCCAGCCCACTGTTGGGTGGGGGGGCGTCAGGACAAAGATGTGACACGGGCTCAAACTAGCCATGTTGTAAATAAGAAGGGAATCCGTCTCACACCCGCCCAGCGGGAGGGGAGGCTGCCCCTCCCCTTGAAGGCCACCATGCAGAAGGAGCCACCGTCACTGGGAGGAAACAAGGTCGGAGTGTGAGCTGTGCGGCCGGGTTTGTGCCTGCCTGCCAGTGGGGCTGGGAACCAGACACCGGGAGTCCTGTCCTGTCTCTGGCTGCAGAGATCAGAGCAAGTCGCTATACTCTGTGGGTCCGTTTTCCCCTCTGCACCAAACATTTGGCCAAAATAACCTCTGAGGGGTCCTGAATGGAAAGCTCTGAACCAATGGTCTCACGAGGCAATTGAGGCACGGCCTTGGGGAATGAAAGGTGAAAGCAGGCTCTGGGTGGCTCCCTCAACTTTACTGTGAGGCGGGGGGCCAAGCAATGCACCCCAGGCCATTGACACAGCCCCTGAGCTCCCAAGCTTTCTTGGAAAAGCTTCTATGAATGCTGCTAATACATCAGGTAACTTGCATTAAGTGCTTGTTGTACGCCAGGCTTGGCCCTAAGGGCTCACATTTATGAGTATTTTCTATATGCTGGGCATTATTTTAAGTGCTTTACAGCCTCAGCTTCACGTAAGACACACAACTTCTCTGTGACGTAGGCCCTGTCGTTGTTACCACGGGAATAGCAAGCCTATAAAACAAGAACTAACCATTATGAAAAAGGAGCACTCAGAGAACAGGAAAGAACGTTCAAAAATGTAAGAGTTAACAGTGATCGTGAAAAGCCCAACCAAGCCGGGATAGCAGAATGGATACGCCTGAGAACCAAATCAAAGTGACAGATGGAAATTATAAGACAAAAATGCCAGAGCCAAGGTTCAATGGAAGGAATTGAATTCACGTGCAAAAGCGAAGACCTTCCCAAAATCACCTTCCCAGTGGAATCTGGCCCCTCCTTGCTCCGGCGAGCAGATGTTGATGCCTAACAGGGAGTTGGTGAGTCATTCCTGCGTGGTTCAAGTCCTCGAGGTTTAGTATGTGCTCTTTAGGCCACCCTTGCACCTGAAGTCCCCATCCCCTTTCCCCGGGGCGCCTAGCCCGGTAGTCCGGGGAGTCACTAGCTCTCACGGGCCCCAAGCAAACCACAGGGAGCCAGCAGTGGGGCTGAGAAGTGACCACTGATTGGCGCCCACAGGGCAGGCGTCACAGGTAAGCAGGGGGTCTGTGCAAGAGTCTCGGACGGACGTGAAAATACCGAGAGCACTGGGCTGGCGCCACGCCAGCCTGACACTAGCCACTCGGCAGACTCAGGGAGGAATCCCTTGTCATTTCAAAACACAGTAAGGAAACCAGTGACCCAAGTGGAAAAAAAGACGTAAACAGAACATGCAAATGGCCAGTGCCTACGCAGGGAAATTTCTTTTTTTTTTTTTTAATAGTTTATTGTCAAGTTGGTTTCCATATAACACCCAGTGCTCATCCCCACAAGTGCCCTCCTCCATGTCCATCTCCCCCTTCCCCTCCCCCCCATCTGCCCTCAGTGTGTTCTCAGCATTCAAGAGTCTCTCATGGTTTGCCTCCCTCCCCCTCCCCCACCATTTCCTCCCTTCCTCCCCCCATGGTCCTCCGTTAAGTTCCTCCTAATCCTCCTATACGTGCAGACATACGGTATCTGTCCTTCTCTGCCTGACTTATTTCGCTCAGCATAACACCCTCAAGGTCCGTCCATGTTGCTACCCGTGGCCAGATTTCATTGTTTCTCATTGCCTTGTAGTATTCCATCGTATAGATAAACCACATCTTCTTGATCCATTCGTCCGTTGATGGACACTCAGGCTCTTTCCATGTGTTGGCTGTTGTGGAGAGTGCTGCTGTGAACATTGGGGTCCATGGGCCCCTATGCATCAGCACTCCTGGATCCCTTGGGTACATTCCTAGCAGTGCTATTGCTGGGTGATAGGGGAGTTGTATTGTTAATTTTTAGAGGAACCTCCACACTGTTTTCCAGAGGGGCTGCACCAGCTTACATTCTGCACAGGGAAATTTCTAACGTCACCACTGGTGGAAGAACACAAAGGAGAACGTGTCGTTTTCGTCCATCTGACAAGGATATTTTAAGCTGTAACCCTGTTGGAGAGACACACATTTCCAGAAAGCAGCCTTGCAATATAGGCCTCGCTTTTCGGTCTGTAAGTCAACTTTCAGAAACTGATCACAAAGAAATGATTGGGTTTGTCGGCCGATGTCTGTACAAGCCTGTTCTTCCCAACGTTGCTTACAGCTGAGAAAAATTAGAAACCACTGAATGTCCAGACAAAGGAAAGTGATAGTGAACAGTGCCCCGTCTGTGCAGTGGAATAGCATTTATCTATTTAAATTGGGTTTTCACAAGAATGTTTGATAAAAGTTACAGTGAAAAAAAGCAGGATGAAAAATTTATATAGGAGTTATTCTATATATGATTATGTAAAGAAAATATGTTTCTAGAAAACATTAGAGGGGCGCCTGGGTGGCTCAGTCAGGTATGCGACCGACTTCAGCTTTAGGTCATGATCTCGAGGTTTGTGGATTCGAGCCCCGCGTCAGGCTCTGTGCTGACATCTTGGAGCCTGGAGCCTGCTTCCGATTCTGTGTCTCCATCTCTCTCTCCACCCTTCCCCCACTCATGCGCTCTCTCTCTCCAAAATAAATAAACATTAAAAACTTAAAAAATAAAAGTATTTACATTGAATAATGGGATACCAAGTGATCTTTTTCTAGCATTCACTTTTCCAGATTTTCTACAATGAATGTAGGCTACTTTTATAACCAGAAAAAAATATCGTTTGATTGTACAACTTTGTATTTTATTTTTTTAATTAGTCTTTTTATTAGCATAGTAGTAAATGCTCTCACTGCCCTCAAATCAGAAAATACAGACAGGTATTTAAAAAAAGAAAAAGAAAAACTCATTCATAATCCCATCGTGGTTAACAATTTCTTGCTATGTTACAAAAATGAAAACACATGATACATACTATTTTAGAGACTTTTAAAAACTTGTGACTACAAACATATAACATAAAATTGACCATCTTAACCATTTAAGTGTACAGCTAGGTGGCATTGAGTACACTCACACTGTCGTGCAGCCATCACCGTGGTCTGTTTCCAGAAATGTCCATCTCCCCAAACTGACACTCTGTCCCCATTAAACACCAACTCCCCACTCGCCTCCCACTGCGCCTGGCACCCACCCCTCTACTTTCTGGCTCTGTGGGTTTGACCACTCCAGGGGCCTCATATGAGTGGGATCATGCAATATTTGTCCTTTTGTGACTGGCTTCTTTCATGAGCCAGAATGTCCTTGAGGGTCATTCATATTGTAGCCCGTGACAGATTTCCTTCCTTTTAAAGGCTGAACAGTATTCTATCACATTTTGCAGACCCATGCATCCATTGATGGACACCTGGGTTGTTTCTAGAGCCTTTTCAAACAGAACAATATATTGTGTACTTCTTTCTGTGCCAAGAACAAATAAATTAATAGCAGTTATTTTTTAAAAGTGTTTAATGTTTATTTATTTTTGAGGGGGAGAGAGACAGTGTCAGTGGGGGAGGGGCAGAGAGAGAGGGAGACACAGACTTTGAAGCAGGGGCTCCAGGCCCTGAGCTGTCAGCACAGAGCCCAACGCGGGGCTCGAACTCACGAACCGTGAGATCATGACCTGAGCCGAAGTCGGACTCTCAACCGACTGAGCCCCCCAGGCGCCCCCATCCTACTATTTCTTAAAGATACATTTGAAAAGTGAGATTTCCACGTCAAGGGGTATTTTCAGATTTGATTTTTTTGACCAACGTGTCCTCCAAAAATTATATTAATCGGGATCCCTGCCACCAATGAATCTCCGTCCCCACATTCCAGTGTCCTGGTCAGGACTGAGTATTAGCACTTTCTGAAATGTGTCAACTTTTTTGGCAGTTTTTTTGCCATGTGGCAGGTTGTAAGTGCCACTTTTTTCACGTGTATCTCTTGGATTACTGGTGAAGATGCATTTTTTCCTGTGTTTATGTTTTGCTGGCAGTTTGTGTTTCTCCGTGGAGGGCCTATGTCCCCTTCATAGAGAGATATTGATCGTGCCCTCACCAGGGAGTGGTGAGCTACACAGGAAGCATCCGCGAACTTTCTGTACCGTGGATGCGGCCAACCACATTCTGGAGCTGCACGGTTTGTTTAGATTGATGGAGCCAGATGCAGCTAAGGATTCTGCTTTGGTGGCCCATTTCGCAAATTCCTCTCGTTCAGGGTTACCTATGGATTAGTCACGTTTCCACCCTGCTGCATAGTGAGCCATACCTTCCAGAGCTTCTTCAGTCTGCGGGAATGCATTTGGATGGGCTAAGATTAGGGCCTCCCCTACCTCTAGAAGTCGAGGCCAGCCGTCCCGCATGCTCTCCCGTGTCAGCACTCCCTCCTGTCACCCGTTGTCCCTTTGCATTATCCCCGCCTTCAAGAAAAACTCTCTTCCACCGCGAGACACAGCCCCGTCGCGCACAGCCTTTCCCAAAGGCATTTGCTGTACAGAAGAGGATTCGGGAGAGGGACCCCCAGGTGAGGGGGTCCAGACGGTGGCATTTCAGGAACCGCC